AGAGAGAGAGAGAGAGAGCAGTCCAGGTGCGTCAAGCTCCTCACAGACAGGACAAAACCGGAAGCTAGTATGTTGCCATTAAAAATAAAAGTATGCGATTTTGCCATTTCTGTGTATATATACAGTTTATATGCCACTTTAATTGTACATTAAAGGCAATTTTACATCCTCATATGTTGATTTTTATTTTGTGTCATTGGGTCTTCTTGGTGTAGCTTACATAACTGTTTAAGAGAGGTGTTGATTTAACTTTATAGTCATTTTGGAGTCTGTAGTTTGTGCTGTTCATTTGTATTGTGTTATAAGAGGTTTTTCTAACATTTTGTCTACTGCTTGATATATGTAAATGAGAATCAGTAACACCTCTCTTTACATTGACAATATTAACTACGTGTCCTAAAACAACTAGGTGCATTTTATATTTACCATTGACCTTTAATTTTCTGTTTTTATAATAATAATGATTACGCGGTTCCCAACTTGGGCAACAGAAGATACATAAGATAGAATTTACTGATCCCGCACCTGGGAAATTTACAAATCTGTAGGGTCACTAATTAAATGAATTACTAATTGTCTGTGCTTTTTTGTATTTTTTCCAATCTCCTTTATGTGTCATATGGCCATGACATATAGGAGACATTATTATGGCCATTGTGTTACTACTGTTTGTCCTTCTGTGCTTTTATCTGTGAGATGGGATTGTATCTGTGCTTTTGCACTTGTTTGTGCTTATGTCCTTTTGTATTTTTTCTTCAACCTGCTAAATGCTTCACACTCGACCTTTAAGGGCCGAGTGTTAATTAATGTGCATTGTCCCTTTTAAATAAATACACTTCAAATTTCAATGATCACAAGCCAAAACTGTTTCTAACTACTGGGTCGTGATAATATTTGCACCTGTAAACCATTTATCATTGTTGTAATTGTATATACGGTCATATCCACCTACCTCATGTACATAAGAAACCTGCATGTAAATATTTATTTCAGCATCCTCTGCACTTGTTTCTACAATGTACAATTGTTATTGTTTTTTGTTTGTGTATATATGTATGACTGTACATAGTAGTTTATGTTTATTTATGTTTATTTTGTTAAGCTTGTGTTTATTTATGCTTAGTCTGTGTCTGTGCACATACCTGGCCAATAAAAGTGATTCTGATTCTGATATTTATACCTGAGGAAATAAGTAGGCTAATCTTATTTTGAAAGCCACCACCGGATGTAGCCGTCGCTCCTCTCGCTGGCTTTACCTCTGGTCTCTAAACACCGCCTGTCCGGCTCCCCGCACATCAACAAACGCGCTTTCCGCGGCAGGAAGGGAAGCAAGAGATACACGGAACATTTATTACTGTCAACAGAAAGCTCGGTAAAGTTACGAGTTTGTGGATAAGACGGTTTAAATAAATAAAAAAGGACAAAGAGCCCGTCGCATCCAGGTTTCCTCAGCAGACTTTGGAGAACAGAGCAGCTGTCCCCGGACTGTCCACGGCACCGTGCACGGTGAGTTACCGGATTCTCACTGTAGCTGTGTAAAGTTAAAATAATTATGCAAAGAGGGAAGTAAAGGGGGTTTTGTAGGTGTCGTAGCTTGTAGGACTACATGTGTGTCCTGCTTGCTTTTGTAAGTTCATGGACACTTTAATTTAACGTGTGAAAATCCACTTGGATTGGCACTCCCCTCTGCACAGGTGTGTGTCAAAGGTTGCTGTTGTTCCTTCAAGCTAAAAGCACTCACTGTATGTAAATAGGGGAGAGGAAATCTAGTGTATTTTTCTTTGGTCAAATCTCTCAAACAAATCTTTTTTACAATGTAAAAATGTCCTCTCTCTAATGAAACGCAGTCTTTCTTTATCAACGTGTGCATCAGCCATGGCAGGTCTGCTGGGTTTAGACATAACAAAGTGCCCCCTTACAGTAAATACATCCAGACTCATTTCCTGCTCAGACCTCAGCTTCAAATCAACAATTTCCTTCCATCGTGCACCCCAAACAAATCGTATTGCTTTTGTCTTATCTGGTTAGAAATAGAGGCGTGGACATTGCAACTTTTGTCCCTTTTTTTTGCAGCCACACTTGAAGGCTAAAATGCTACTGATTTATTATTTATGACAGTTTGTTCAGTGTTTGTGAGCTTGTTCTTCTTCTCTTTTGCTAAAGCTAGAAACCTCAAAGGAAAATCCACCAACTTGTAAGCATCATTTGGTGACTTTAAATCTAGGTCTGTAGAATGAATAGGGTGCAGAGTTTGTAGGAGCTAAAAATGCCAAATACAGAGCAGAAGTATGGAGTTTAAGTGTTCACACAACTATTGTGTACACTGATGGACCACTTTTCTAGCATTCAGTAGGCAGGCAACCCCCCACAAAGTGACACATTTTATGGATATTTAATATTCTATTCAATGCATAACAATAACAGTACAGAACAGCTGATAAATTGTAAAGTCAAACCAAATTGTGACCACAATAAGTGCAGGAAGTTTGTGTAAAACAAGTGATTTGAGCAGATTATTAAATATTGCATCAGAGATGATTTCATGATATTTTAGGGAACGTTTTATACAGTTCTCTGTCTGTGTTATGTATTTTTCTTCTATTTTTAACAATCTTAACAACCTAATAGGCCTCTTTTTTGGGACAAATTCTGTGTTTTATTTTATCGTAGGCATGGCGATTGTTTATCAGCTTTTCAGTTGTTTTAACTGCATACTTTTCTAATGCAGGACGAGGCTGTTTAGATAGAAAATAGCATGTGTTCTCAGTCTTCAAAGTTTAGATCTTAAATAATAATCTAAACTTTAAAAAAGGATTTAGTTTTCTTCACAGAAATGAACACAATACTGATATATACAGGCCACACTGTGTATATTTTTCCATTTTCTTACACCCCTTTAAATCAAGAAGGTGTTGCAACCCCTGTGAAGCTTTGGTGACCCCTAGTGGGGGCCCGGAACCCTAGGTTGGGAACCGCTGGTGTATACCATTTATTGTCTATGGGGACAGTGGCACATTTCACATCCCAGTGACAACACAAAACAACCCACTGTCTATTTTCCAGCTTGTATGTATGAGAAAGTGGTTCACAAGTATTGGCTGACCTGCCTCGGGGCACAGCAATAACATATGTGAATTCTTAAAATGAATGGCATTCCCCTTATGGCCCGACACAGAGGCACTTTTCATGCTGTTGTTACATCGCCAGGCTCACTGTGGGACCAGACCCTCACAGTTTCTCTTTTTACTAGGATAAACAAGAATATAATAAAGTGTTTTGCACACAAAAAGTTAGCTTGTTCTCTTGTTCGTGAATTGGATTTCTGTTAAGAGGGGATTTATGGTGCATATATGTGCACAGCAGCTCTGCGGTGTGTTTATACCAAAATAATTCCCAAGTGTGCTCATTTAAGTAATGAGGTTAAAAAAAGCACAGGGTCTATTTTTGTGCGCAGCTGCCTCATCTGTAAACAAAGGCCAAATACTTGGAACGAGATGATAACACGACAAAGAAGAGCAAATAAAGTGAAGAGCAGAGCAACTTTCCCAGCTCCGGCCCTGAACTCCCAACCCTGCATGATATTATATTCACATTTCTTCAGCCTAAAACACACGGGGAGGTCAAGTGCTTAGCTCAGCAAGCCTCGACAGTGGGAGGCCACAGCTGATTTGCATTGATAATTTCTCAAGTGATTTTATAAGCACATGGCAAGCTTCCCTCGGAGGAACTGCTCTGTCAGCATATCAGGGTGTTAGAATCCGCGTAGAGACTCCCAATGTGACCATGCTTCAACTTCGACATGACAGACATATTATGACTCTGCATGTTCAGGGTTGGAGAGTGTTATCTAATCTGAATCTCCTTTTATTCATTGGACATAATATGCCAAACTACTTGATGCATTAATAGAGAACTTTACTTAACTTTACTTAAGAACTAAAATATGGTCTAATCTGAAAAGTTCCAGATGTAGGTTAGGTCATCTGATCACAGGTGATCAAGCAAGAATTTGATCAAGCGTTCAACACCAATTTGAGATTCTGGATACTAGTAGTAGTTTTAAGTAAGGAAAAAAAAAAATTCATTATCATCTCCTCACTCTTTTTTGCAGTTAACCCTTGGACTTCATTGTCGCTGTGTTGCTGTGTTCCCAAATGTTGGCAGTTACATTGTTGAGTGCAATGTTATAGCTGATTGCCAAACCTATGAAAATAAGCCAAGTTGTAACAAATTGGAGTTATCCTTCAATAACAATGTCAAACTCTCCCATCTTTTACCACCGGCGCCTTGCTCACTTCCTCTTTAACGTATTGCTTTTTTGTGTTTCTTCATCAGCTTTTTAACCTTTGAAGAAAAACATGGCTTCTAATTCATGGTGGCAAACATATACATACTCCTCCGGGCTCGAGGATTTAAGCCATTATCATCAAAAGGTTCTGTGAAGTAGCAGCGTCTCACCTTTTTACGTGGTAATTACTGTACGGGGTTGTCAAAGTAAGGCACACTTATTGCAGAGCAGGTCTACGGACAGCCTGGAGGCCCAGTATGTGCTGGCAGTTGAAACAGCCGTGAGCAGTGGTGTGTTTGGCCCCACGTGTGCAGTGGATGGCCATGCTTTTACAATGAGCTATTTGTAGGAACACACCTTGCTGGTTTCTAGTTTGACTTTGTGGAATTAGGAAGACGGGCCCCGGGGGGGGTATTTATTAGTCTAAAAGGCTGTGTTTCATCAAAGATAATGTGTTTTCTGTGAGCGATACCTCGCTGTCGTGCTGCTTTGAATATTCCCCTTGAGGCGTTTGAACTGAAGGTCAGTTCCCTCCATTCTTTGTATAAGGCTACACAAACCGTCTCCTCGAAGAACGAACGCAACAGAAACTTTAGAAGACGAGACAACAATGGGAACACAGTAGGAGGTGTTTTGCTGTCAGACAGCATGAGGGCTGTGTTGTGTTTTTAGTTCTCCTGAGGGCCCAACATGTCAAATGAAATGCTGATTTAGTATGTTGTGGGTTTTGTTGTTTATGCAGCGTCCCATTGTGTTGACTTTACTCTCCTGTCGCTGGTTGATTACTGTAATTATTGATGTTGCGCAGTTTCCCACACAGTACACAGTATTTAAAAACAGTCTGAAATAATGATTCTGGGACACGGAGCGGCTTTTCAAACAATGAGCCGTGACGCAAGATAGGCTACATACTCATGTCTGTTTAGTCTCTACACGACTAAAAGAAGGAATACATCATGAGTTATAGGCTTAACATTTCTTATGTGGCTCCTGGAATGATGTCATTAATGTCTTCAAATTAGGTTCTGCTGAATAAAGACTTGTTGATTTGTGTCTGTTTGGGGGATTTGGCAGACTGCTGGTTGTTGTGGATCCACTGTAGCGTCACAACACACTGTATAAAACGTATGCAACATGCTGAATCCACAACACATGCAGCGTGTTGACAAAACAAAGTGAGCGCAGTTCATCGCAGCCTTCACTGTCAGGCCTCCTTTTCTCCCTCTTAGAGCGTGGTTTAAACAGATTTTTATCTGATTCCTTTGAACCCGTGTGGAACACCAGATTTACTGTGACAGGGTGATTCAGATCAGATCTGATTAAGTTGTCAGTCACAGAAATTTGTTTTTGTAAACACCCTTTGTCCCTGTTCTGCTGGGTACATGCATCTGTAAATAACATGAGGGCAATTCGTGTTCTAATCTTCTTACCATGTCAACACAAATTTGTGACTTAAATCTATTTTTCTGTGTGATTCACCTGCCTACTTTAAATCATAACCTTTAATTTTTGTCGTCCTAAAACCCAGCTTTGAACCAGGACAGGTTAAGAAGTTAGGGGTGGATAATAGGGCCACTGAGGAAACATCTTGAACTGTGTTGTATTTCTTTACACTGAGAAATGAGTTCTTAAGTTTGTGTGACTTGGCTGTAATGCAGCCCTACAGACCACAAAACAAAAACATGAGTTACCCTGCCAAGTTTTCTTGTAAACAAACAGTAATATTTATATTCAGTGTTTCTCACCAAAGCACAACTTTCTTTCCCATAAAACATTTTCAAAGCTGGTTTATATTATATATTTGTTTATATATATCTTCTGCACTCTTACCTGGCATATTGCATCACCACCAGCAGCTGTCTGATTGACTTATTTTATGGCCCATTCCAACTGTTTCCTGATAGTTCTGTGTAACAAACCACCTGGTGCAGTCAGATTAAGGTTTTGGGGTTTTGAGCACAGTTGGACTGCACATGAGACGCAGGGAACGACATTTCAGACACCCAGGATCCCTGAGCTTGGGAACAGGTAGGGACGTCTTTGTTTCCTCCTTTTTTCTGTCTAATCTGGAGCTGAGTGTCTGTCCTGACCAGGCAGGTTATGTCTGGGATTATGAATATTTGAAGAAGAGTATTTAGAGGATTTAGCAACAGATGTATGACATACACACAGGCCTCCCACTCAGCGCTCTCTGCTGAAACCTCATGTGATTTTGCTT